ATTATAAAATTTAATATTTAAATATTTAAATTTTGAGTTTTGAAGTTATTAAAATTTAAAAATTGTATTAAATGATTTTTAAAACTTTGCAAGATATTTTTTATTTTACTCAACACTTAATATGAAATATTTTTTACTACAATGTTATGTTATTTTCAAAAAAAGTTTGACATTTTTTACGGTCGGTTTCTTACAAAAATATGGAGTGAGAGGGTTGATGAAAAGCGAGGGAGTGATAGAATTTTTAAAATGGGCCTTGTTTATACCAATGAAATAAATAATATTAACGAGAAAACACAGCGCGTTTCGATGACGCCACTCGGCAGCCAGGAAGATATCGATCCTTCTGGATAGAGCCTGTGACGTCATATCCTACCCTATCCTTGACCCAGCTCGGATCACGTCCTTTAGGATCTCTCGCGGTTCGGAAGATGTGAAGTCTCTCGCAACATCTCGTCGCGAAGCGCGTCTCTCGCGCGAACACGCGGAGAATTTTCCATGAGGAAAAGTCGTTATTTTCCGTTCATAGTTATACAACGTTAGATGTCGAGGAAATATAAAAATGTCATTTTATTTCCGCGACGATGGCGGGTTCGCATTTCGTAAATATGCTCGTAACCTGATCCGATGGATGCGTTTCTGGAAATGTCGTAAACTGTCTCCGTCTGTCTCACTATCCAGTTTAGTGTGCTCTTTGTATTGTTATGTAAATTAGATACGCTACTTTACATACGAAAGACGGTCTGAATGGAATTCCCAAAATTCTGTTTGTCTCTCTTATAGAATTTTATTAATTATTCTAAAATCAGATCTTTCTCGTCGAGTTTTAAACTCGGAATAGTCTAGTTTATTTTATTAAAAATTTTATATTATTAATTTGTGAATTTTTCTTTGTCTCGATGTCTTAAATTTTTACTTATTTTTCTTAATTAGTATATGAATTCCTTAATATATAAATATTTTTCTAATGTCTTAATTTTTTATTCAGACAGTTTTCTTTTTACTTATAAAAAATATTTTTAATTTTTATCTACATTAATAATAATTAATAGATAATTAATGTCTCGATTAATTTGAAGAATATAAATTAATTTATAGCTTCTTATACTTTTAATCATTTTTTACCAACAATTTAAATTCGTGATTCTTTATCTCTCTTTGATTTAAATTTTGTTATAAATGTAATTTTTTAGTTTTTTTTTATATCGACTAATAGCATTTAATATTGACGATTAATTTTAAGGATCTCTGTAATTTGGAAGTTTCATATCAATCTGATTCGCGATAGTCTCTTATCACGGCGTTATATATTAGGTATATACGAGAGAAATTAATATTAGATAAACTTCTATCGAGAAAACATATAGATGAATCGTTCGGCGATTCCGTGATCGACATTTATCTCCAGCCGTGACCGGAATGATTAAATAATTTGAGAAAAAAAAATAGAAACCGTTCGATGAGACAGGCTCAGAAACTATCGTTGTCGTGCTCAGGGTTTGACACCCGCTATTTCCGACGTTCTCGTACGATTATATTTTCAGCTAGCAATAATCTACATATGATCGGTCCGGAAGTTATGATGCTATCTCTGATCGTTTTCTCCAACAAGATCTGCGCTTTCTGGGTCAGCCGAATCGACCCCGATTGCATGTCTCCTCACGTAGTCAATGATGAGTTATAAAAGTTATAGTTTCTGACGTTTTAGAGTACCTAAGCTTTTATCGACAAAGTCTGCAAAAGTTTTTTCTTCTTATATTTGATGACAAGAAAAATATCTTAAAATATTATCTTTTTACTAACAATTTAAATTCGTAATCTTTTATCTCTCTTCGATTTAACTTTTGTTATAAATGTAATTTTTTATTTTCCTTTTATATCGACTAACAGCATCCAATATCGTCGGTCAATTTTAAAGAGTTGTACGATTTGGAAGTTTATTAAATGTGGAGGTCACTTTTAGAATTTTAAAAAAGGAAAATTTATATTAATTGATAGAGTCACGTGCATATATAATATACAAACTCTCTCTCTCATTTTAACAAGATTCCGCATAATTGAAAATTTTGGGGCAAGTAAATAGCATTCAGTTATCGGCTATTCTTTTCCTTTTTGAAGAGGAGCAGCAGCAGTAGCATTGACGGAAGCTTCGCGTATTATGTAAAGAGAATAAACGAGACGGGGGAGTTGGCCGGAGGGCGCCGGGACGCCTGGCGCCGCTACGTCGTCGTCGTCAATGTCGTCGTCATTGTCGTCGCGGTTTGAAGGAGTAAAAGGGGCGGAAAAAAAAATGACAGCCTCCCTCGAATATGTTGTTTGTTTAGCACGCGTCTGCTTGCAAGCATCTCGACGAGCCATTACGAGATAACGAGTCTTGCCGCCATCGTTATCCTTTACAGTCTCTCATGACAGTAATTTGATCCTGTTGATCGATACCTCGAAAGGACCGCGTTTCGCTTCCGCAAATGAAATCGGAAAGTTAAGTTTACGGAAAATAAACATAATATACGAGACTGACTATGAACTGTAAGTAAATATTATTCAAGAGAAATTGCAGAGAAAATATGCTTTAAATCTGAATCAATCTTCGAATTTTAGCTGTCACGAAAGCGTGAAATATTTCATTGGATAAAAGATGACGCAGACATTTTGGAAAATATTTATCGAATTTCGCGAAATTGATGCAATCGAACTTGAATCAATAAAATACCGATAAAGATGTGACGCTGACAGCATAAAAGAAAAATAATCCATTAATCCATTTGATTGCGCGCTATTTTATTTTTGAAAAATACTAAACGAGAAAAATACTAAAGTTTCACAGATATATATATATATAATATTTGTCTAATAAATTTTGAATAATTAATGAAGCCCAAGAAAATCTGTTTCCGAAATATTATAGATTAAGAAACTTCATATATATTTTTATTATTTTAATATTTGTACAATATTTCTTAAAAATTTTGGCGTGAATTTATATAATATCTTTATTATTTCATTTAAAGAAAATAACCATGAATATGATCTGATATAATAATTGAATAAGAGTTTTTCTTTTTTAGAAATTATGATAATGATAGAGTCATAATATTGAAAATTCGATAAATAGCACATAGACGTATGTCACGCGGAATAAGTTACAGAGTAGAAGGGGAAAGAGAGGAAGAGATTAGAAACGCGAACTTGCTAAATATTTTGAAGTGACATATAAAGTTTCTATCACAACCGAGGGTATACAGCCGATCGATTGAACTCTGTGGAAATGAATCGTAGAAAAATGTGAGGAAGGGTAATCACAGGAATGGATATAGATCACGACGACCTATTCGCTCACCCTCCCGTAATAGCAATTTTTCCGGAATATCTTCGGCCTAAGTCTTTAGAGCTCGACCTATATCCTGGCTTTCGTTCTATGCGTGTGTCGATCGATTTCCACCGCGTACATGAAAAATCGCACCGCGCAAACAATAAGACAAAATCCAAAGCTTTATGTAAACAGGAGAATTAACTAGAATTGAATTTAAAAATATTTAGTAAGATATAAATAAAAATTATTATTAATATATAAGAATATATTAAATAAAAATAATTTAAAATTCTTGCTACACCTTATATTTTTAGAGCTCTGACATTTTTTACAAACATTTTTATAAAATTGATATTATTTTCACAAAATTAATTTTTATATAACTGCAAAATAAAAATTCCTCTATGTCTTATAGTTGATGTCCAGTATACAATTTCTTTAGAAATAAAAATTAATAAAATGGATAAATAAATAATACAAAAATTAAATAAAGTTAAATTTTATTAATTGAAATGAAATCTTGTAAATTGAAAATCTCGAAAAGGCGAATTATCTCGTTTCCAATGCTTGATACAGGCGAGTGCAAATGCACAACAATCATTGCACGATGAATTTGAAGAGAACTGTTACAAGGCGAGTCATTGGAGGAGAAGGAATTACCGCGAGTAATCTCTCTAGTGTAAATGGTTCCGTTGTTCCCGCTGTAGCTTAAAACTTAAAACAAAGACTGCCGAGAATAATGGGTGTCAGTATTTAGTCAATCAAAATAAATATGAGATTCATCGAAGCAGAGATTTTCCAGCAATATTAAAAGGTTCAATGTAGTGTCTCGTTAAAAATTTCCAAATTTTGAATTTTGTCTTAAGATGAATTTACAGGAACATTTTAATAAAATTTTAACTTTAATTCTTGCGTTTCTTCGATATTTTTATATAGTGTAAAATTGCTCATCGTTTCATCTATAAATTTAACTCGAAATTGATATGGTATTATTTGAGATTGAAAACTTTCTCGATTTTGAAGTTTAATTTTTCAAAAATTAGCTCTAGCGTTTTAAAATTTAAACTCAATTTTTAATTTAGAGGATTATGTGAAATATTTCTCACTTCTTTAATCTTCTCATCTACATTAGCACGAGAGAGAGAAAGAGACGCTTAACTTTATATGCACGAATATATACGCTTAGTGTTTGCCACTTATGAACGTCGAGCGTTTTACCGGGTTATAACAATGATATTCCTTTGAGCCGTTTACCCTATGATCAAAGGGTGTTCTTCGACGGTACTCCAGTATGAAAAGGTTTGCAACGATTCACGTTGAAACTTGAAAAATCGCAAATATTTCACACAAAACGTATAGAGTACTTGAAAAAAAATCGCGTCTCTTTAACACTTTTACTGGATAAATAAAAGCATTTTGTGTATAAAAATTAAAACTTAAAATAAAATTCAAGATTGATTATTAGTTTAAAGACTTCACTAAAGTTTTTTGATGTGTAATTATCTTTTTTTCCGTCAATTAACGACGATAAAGAATAGGCGTCACAAAAATGAATAAATCTCAAGAGGATAATGAAAGGATTGAAAAGTACTGATGATGGAAAAAGAAATAATAAGAAACGGTTGATTTTGAGGTTCGTTTTCCGATCATTTGCATATGAATTTAAGGATGCTTGACGTTTCTCCCTAGTTCCTCTAATCCGGTTGAGAGCCGGACTTAGAACGAGGATCGATGAGGTGGTTCTTAAGGTCGGTCATAAATACAAACTGCATTCGCGCGATTACTTGGAAAACCGGGCTTGGAATCCCTTAATTGGAACGGCTGCAATTGCTCATTTTTGTCTCTCTCTTTATTCCAGCAAAATTGCTTTACTTATCACATATTGTAAATGTTGTAAATGTGACGATTGAGAAACAAACTTTCTAAAATTTATTCTGTTTTTCGAGTTAATTAAAATTTGTGTTTGAAGTGGAATTATTTATTAAACAGTAAATTATACATTTCAAGAATTAAGACACTTTTGATATTTGAAATAATATTATTAATTCGGAAATCAAATTTGCAATACATATATTGTGAGAATTAAGAAACTAAAATAGAGACCATATCTATTTTCTAAAAAAAAAACTCACATTTGTTGTAAATTCATAATTTTCAATATTTAACAATACATTTTAGGGAGAGTGTATAATTTAGGGCAGATAAAGATTGAATAGACGGGAGAGAAAAAAAGGGAATTATGAAAGATAACAATACATCACAATCTCATTATCTCGAATTTCATTATCTTCTCGTTCGTGTCTCTTCGAATTAACAAAGGCTTCAAAAGCAGCGGACGTTAACGAAACTGCCAGAATTAGTAGATAACGAGCCATGTAAAGGGGGGATGGTGTGGGATGAGTGGGGGAAAGATAGATGATCCAGGAAGTTGATTGAAAAGGATGGTGGTGAAAAAATAAAAGTTGTAGACTTACTTTGAGGGCCTCCTCGTGGGTGACCGCGCGGAAGGGTGTGCCGTTAACCTCCAAGATAGTGTCTCCTGGCCTGAGTCCAGCTCGCTCGGCCACCGAACCCTCCTCCACCCTCGAAATGTAGACACCCACCCCTGAGAACAGTTGGCAGACTTTCCATCAGGCCGGTAAGCTGTCTCGCCGCTATTCCGGCGATCGGTGCCAATTAAAATCTTCCACCCATGACGCGACAAATCGCCCGAGCAAATCTCGCGGATAAATTGAGAGCTAACATGAAAGGGATTTTCTATTTTAATGAAAAAAATTTCAGGGTATCTCCGACAATGTGCAAATAATATTTTGATGTGACAGAGTGTCTTTGATTTTGAGAAAATCGTTTTTATAAAAAATCATTTATTAAGAGGTAAAATTTCTCGAAAAATTGAAAAAAATATAATTTTTTATCTGAATTATAATAAATAATTAAATTATTGCGGCAAAAAGTATAAGATATTTTTGAATGTGTAGCAAGATTATATTTTAAATCTGTATAAAATTATATTGATATGAAAATTTCTTTTTGTATACAAACATAATTTCTCTCGATATAAGCGATAGAATATTGTTTTTATTAAAATAGAAGATGATGCATCTGGCAATATATGATACCGAGGGACCTGTTGATTATTTTGTAAGAGAGTTGACTTTCTGGAAAAGTTGGCAAACTTCCCCGATATACTTGTTGAAGCGGATACGATAAACGCCATGGGTAGAAATATTGTGAAAATAAGAGAAAGAAGAAAAAAGTACGCGGATGCATCAGAGTGAAGTGAGAATATGAAAAACGGTGTGCGTCTCTGTGTGTCACGATGCACGTGTGTATACGTGTATTCGCTTGACAGAGAGAGAAAAACATGCACATAAATCTTTCGAAGAGAAAACGTTAATTGCATTGCATGATGTGCATTATGTTTACGTTATGCACTTACAATCTATGTATTTTATATGTATATATGCATATGTTTATGTATATATATATATATATATGTGTGTGTGTGTGTGTGTTGTGTGTTTTATATATGTGCTTTATTCCAAAAAAATGGAGAAGTGATAATCGATAACGACTGATGTAAGCCGAAGTAGATTTTCCATGAATTTTTGAACTACATCCGCGCGCTAGGACAATAAAATCCATAAACGATTAAATAAAGAAATGCTTTTATGGAATAAAATAAAAGCGAGATTTTTTTGTCGAGTTCGATCGATTCCGAGTTTTTGCAGCTGCTAATCTGGAATATACTAGTCTGGATATATTTTCTTAGCAAAATAATTTTCTTAACAAAATAATTAGAAACTCTGTGATAACATTGTTAATATTAGAACTATGGTTTAGCATTTATTTTGTTTTACAGCTAATTAGGGGAAATATATAATATATAATTCTTAAATATTATAATATATATACCGCGCATATATATATATATAATATATTTATTCGATAACCACGTAAAAAAAATCAAGTGAAAAATGTGCAAAAGTGTAGTTTGTTGTAGCTATTCGCTAATAATTCATAATTACTTTTTCGATCTATATTTGATAAATATTGCAAAAATATAGAGAAATATTTTTTCACGCTTCTCAAACTATTTGGACGAGATTTATTTGGTAGTCAAATCTCGAGGATTTATCTCTCCAAACTCAATTTCGATATTATCCGAAATAACCTGAAATTTCTCCAGCCAGGTGAAATAGGATTTGGGAAATTTACTCGAAAATGAGAGCTTTCTTTATAATATGGTTTTAACTCAAACTATATTAAAATAATATGTCGCAAAAGCTCTTTTTGAAGAAGTTTCTCCGGCGAGGTTTAATCTACCAATTTTCAAGTTCTAATACTCTCTTGAATTCTCGCGATCATTTAAAGTTTTTGAAGGTGTGCTCCTGGCTTTACTATACAGTGCAACGTAATGTGTATGTGTGTAATAATATAATTTGTGTCGAAGCGAAAGAGCTAGGAAATGTGATGATACATCGAATAGCACGCTCGTACTGCATTTATGCAGTTCATGCGTTTCTCGTTTATTATGTATTTATATGCAAATTATCATCTTCATCAAAATCGTCAAAATTGACATAATTTTTTTGCAGGATGAGAGAGCAAATTTAATGTCGAGATGAAAGCAGTTCGTGTATAGTTACTTTTCATATCAACAAATATCTCTAAAAATTGACGGAAAATTTTGACGAGTTTTTTTTAGGAATTGGAATATTTTCTCTTAATTTTTGATCTCAAATACCTCGGTGATTAAATCTTGATTTAAATTTTCGCATAGAAAAGACCAAAAAAAAAAAAACACTGCAAAGAAAAATTATTTTTAGAAAAAATAGTACATGAGATTATATTCAAATTCAAAAACTGCAGAAAAAAATGTTATTTAATCTAGTTACATATTTTTTTTTTTAATTTAAAAAGTTGATATATCTCTATTTCTGACACTGCGTTCTACGCAGAGCTTTGTGACTAATACAAACGATTAAGCTCTTCTCTACGCACTTATACACAATGCGCATACATTGTACACTCATGCAACGAATGTTGTGCCAGAGAGACGTCTAGAAAGAGGAAGTAGCTTTCTGACAGATACTCGTGTAGTGCGATGCGTTATAAACCCTCCTTTCTCTCCTTGAATTACCTGACTGCGCTTCTGGTACAGCGAAACAGAAAATAAGAATGACACAACGCAAGTTGGCTTATTCTCGATCTCAGCTGTTCGGTCGCGGACGATGGCGAAATTCCCAGAAGACTCGCATCGAATTCAATAAGCTTTTCACAAAGCGTTATTGCGGAACTAATTTGATTAGACTCGAATTATAGAGCTTGCGCTAGTTTAATTTAAAAAGTTGATATATCTCTATTTCTGACACTGCGTTCTACGCAGAGCTTTGTGACTAATACAAACGATTAAGCTCTTCTCTACGCACTTATACACAATGCGCATACATTGTACACTCATGCAACGAATGTTGTGCCAGAGAGACGTCTAGAAAGAGGAAGTAGCTTTCTGACAGATACTCGTGTAGTGCGATGCGTTATAAACCCTCCTTTCTCTCCTTGAATTACCTGACTGCGCTTCTGGTACAGCGAAACAGAAAATAAGAATGACACAACGCAAGTTGGCTTATTCTCGATCTCAGCTGTTCGGTCGCGGACGATGGCGAAATTCCCAGAAGACTCGCATCGAATTCAATAAGCTTTTCACAAAGCGTTATTGCGGAACTAATTTGATTAGACTCGAATTATAGAGCTTGCGCTAGTTCACTGAGCATTTTAGTCATAATATTTACATTGTTATTAATAATAACATAAATGGTAATAAATGCCTGAATATAAATTATTCGGGAGTATCTAATTTTATATATATATAATATTTGCGCTAATTATGCATATTTAGAGCAAAGCAATGTTTTGTGAATTAAATTAACTCCAAAATTAATTTTAACAACTTCTATAAATAAAGCTACGCTAAATTCTAGATAAATTTGTCGAAGAAAATAGTTGTTATAGCTGTTATTATATATAATATCTAAAATTTTGCCGATAGAGATCTTTACACTTGAAACGATAAAACTCAATAGTGTGAAAAAAAGAAATTGATGATAAGAACAAAAGACTCTGGGAATTTCAGCATCGTCTGAAACAAATTTTAGTATCGCGATTTTAGTATACGCGAGAGGCAAAAACGCTCTTTCTCTCTCTCTCTTGAGAGCCGCCTTTTCGGATTTGTGGTTTCACGCTCGATGATGAAGCTTGTCAAGCGATGATTTCGCAGCGCGCATCTGTGCAACATTGCGTGCGTGATTAAGCATGAGATTTAACACTCACAGTCTCGCCGGTAACATTAGTATAACGGATAGAGTTGCAGATTTATTGAATTTTATTCTGCTTTTCTTTATAACTTGATATTTTTTTAATTCCATTAAATTCTTTTTTCAAAAGGTAAAAATAATTAAAAAATATATATTTTTAATATGTATATTATGTAAGTTTGCGATAGAGTGATAAATATAAATATTATTTTTAATATTGAAAAATATTTTTTTGCAGATAATTAAAAGGAACGCGTATATATAAACTAGTTTAATATTTTTAGACCATTGCATTTTGTGTGTGCGTGTGTATATGTGTGTGTGACAGTTTGATTTATTTTTGAAAAACTGCGAGGATTAAAAGGCTGTAAAACGTGAAACCGGATCTTGTCGCTTTTGTTATTTTAACGATTTAAGGCGGCACTCTCGCGTGCATTTTTGCCTCACGCAGACCCTTGTCATTTATCAATTGAGAAATCTTTCTAGAAAACTAAAATATTAAAATTTTAGAGAGAATATATTTAAAAAAATATACGGTCGAAAAAATGAGTCGTTTTTGTAGGCTGAGAAAAAAGTCGTTAATTTAACTAAATGCGTTTAGTCGGTTATCATTTGTTTAGTTGAAATATTTTAGTATTTAAGTTAAATACACACACATTGTATTTAAATTAGATATTTAAATATTTCAACTAAAGAAATGATAACCAACTAAACGCATTTAGTCAAACTAACGACTTTTTTCTCATTTTTCGCAAAAATGACAATTTTAACGCTTTAATAACTTTTTTAATTTTTAAATTTTGTTATTACAATTTAAAATATTTTGTTCTTTTTTTATAAAAGTTAATTATATCTTTCTCTATTATTATTATATTATATTTTTTTAAATTATGTATGAGACATAGAAAGATATAGGATAAAAAAGAATTAATTGATAAATTACAATGATAAAGAACAATTGTTAATCTCAATATGCAAAATTTTTATTTTTTCGGCAATTGAATTTTCCAGAAAGATTAGATGAAACGAAGAACTCCGGTCGTCGGATTTCCGGCGCAATCACGTTTCGATAGGTCGATAGCTCGTTATCACATCGACCATCGAACGGCAAACCGACCGGAGTTCCATCTCTGCAAAGGAAGGGGAAAAAAATAAGGAAATAGGAGGAATCTGTGCAAAACGCGCTCGTTCCTTTTCTACCGAGTTTGCGTGCAAACAATTGTCACTACGGCGGAAAACGATGCTTAACGATCGTGAAAATGTTTTCCTCTGCTTTCGAGTATCGTCCTCGCGACGAGAAAACCCATTTTTTATCGTAGATCTTAATCAATCGTATAAATTTTTATCAGAATTTGCATGTATTATCGGATTTGCGAGTAATACGGATGAATATTTAGGACAGTTTATTTGTGTAAAAAGTTCAAATGTTTAGAGAAACAACGCGAAATAACACAAAATAAATAAATAAAATTATTTTTCTATATGTAATTAAATATAAAAATAATCATGATAGTATAATTTATGTATATGTTTCTCTGAAAGAGAGAGAGATAATGTATTTAACAAATTTAGATATGTAAATGCTATAAATATATTTATATCGTTTTATTATTTAAGTACGCTATCGCGAATAATAGGAACGACAAGATAACATTTTTACGCTAATTATATTCCGTCGCGAGGACAAGGACGGTTCGCCAATTTATGCTGAAGCACGTACAAGCACAAGATGTTGAGACACGATATGGGTGCCAACCGAGGTGACTTAGGCACTTAGCTCGAAAAAGAAACAGTAATCAAATATACAAGTTGCCAGCGATATGTGACAAGCGAGTCATCTGGCGTACCGCTCGATTTGCGGAATTTTAATATCTCTCAAATATTTAATATGAAAGAAAGGAAATATAGGATCTAATAATTAAATTAATAGCCGGATTATCATTTGACAGACCGTTGATTTTTATTCTATTTTTGGATTGTACGGTATCGTAGTTTTTTCATATCACCGCTGAATGGAATCGTAATTTTTTTCTTATCTAAAAAGATACACAACCTTTATATATAGTAACGGAAATACTAACGTGAAGGATTAAAATGACAGATTTATGACATCAAAAAAGTATGTAATATCTTTTCTCACGGAGATGTCAAACATTATAAATTTTTATTATTACCAATGCTCGATGTAAATATAATTCATTCTTTTTCGTTTATAAAGACCTCTATAGAACTAGATTAAAATCTATGATATTAAACATTTTTGTTACTCAAAACAGATTTATAAAATTATAGAGATATCGTATAATTTATCGCGCGAAAAGGATGTAAATTCGAATATATGGCGGCAAATATTTTCGATCGGTTAAATTTCCGCGATTTTGCTTAAAACGAACATGTGCCGAAGCGGAACGAGAAGCAATCTTAAGAAGAAACCCAAGTCCCCGACTTATTTACAGTTAGACGACCCGAGGAACCGCGGCGGGACAACCAGACGACTCGTACGGAGCATAACAGCAGCATTCGATGTACGTACGCGACGGCTTGAAACGTGAGGCTTGACTTGACTTAAAAAAAATCTGAGTAAAGTGCCGAGAGAACTAATGAGAATAGAGAGTTTAAACCGCTGCTGGGATAGAGAAAGTACCTCGTTCTCGAGGCACGAAGTACGGCGACGGGGGTAGCCTGAAGGTACTTCGGATCTCACCTGCGTCCTTGCCACCCTTCACGCAGATGCCAAAGCCATGGTGAGAGTCCGGCGGATCTCTCGTCATGGTGATTGTCCTTACGGTGAGCTCCTGAAGGCTGAGCGGCTGCGCGATCGGCGACGTGGGCGGATTCCCGGTGTTGGTTTGCTGCTGTTGCTGCTGCTGCTGCTGCGACTGTTGCGATTGCTGCTGCTGTTGCTGCGAGCCGCCAGAGATGGTCGGCGTGCCACGTGCGGCTGTCACGCTCGCCGGGCTGGACGCCGGAGATCTACGATCGCCCTGACGCCGTTCCGAGACGCTGTTGCCGAACAATCTGCGAGGGATCAAGAATTGATATTATTTTTCATTATTTAATTCATATTGATTATTTAATTCATATATACATGTCATCGATGACTTGGATAAACGAAAATTCGTGGTATCAACGAATTTATTCGTTGTTAATTTATTCGACGTTAAGTTTTTTAGATAAAAAAGTAAATATAAAATTGAAATTTTTTATTTGACAACTATGAAATTAAATTGATATATTTCACTCTTACATTTATATACAGCTAATTACGAAACATATTTTTATTATATAAAGAAAATAATTTAAAATTATATAAAATTTATTATCTTCATTTATTCTCAATATTATGTATTTTTTTTCGTTTATAAAGACCTCTACAAACTTAGATTAAAATCTATGATATTAAATATTTTTGTTACTACAAATCTATAAAATCATAGAGATATCGTATAATTTATATAAACTATTTAAATCAAACCTTATATAAACTATTAAAATCAAACCTTATATAAACTATTAAAATCAACAACTATTTCCAAGCAAAAATATTTATATAAAAGAGATTCAAAGAGAGAGAGAGAGAAAATTAAGAAAATATTTACGCTATAATTCCAGAAAATCGATTGCACACCTCAAAATGCGAGAGCACTGCATCGTGCTAAATACACATAAAACTTATTGTAAGCTTGAAAATCACTGGCGTAATTCAATTTCGATACGCCATGAAAATTGGTTTCGATCACGAGAGCCTATTTATCCGGGGGTATCTTACCTGAGCACCTGTTCCGGGGAGATGGCACCAGTGCCGCCGCCGACGCCGCCGCCTCCGCCTCCTCCACCGGCGGTTCCGTGACCCCGGTGGGATCTGTAAGGGGTGGCGTGCGACGAGTGATGATGGGGCGCGCTCGGCGGCCTCTCGACGATGGTGTAGCTGGTGCCGGGTGGACTGTAATAGCCGCGATGCTGACCGCCATGATGACGGCCGGCAGTGCTGGACGACTCGAGGTCCTCGGCCTCGTAGCAGCCGCCGGTGCCGCTTCGCAGGTAGTGAGAACCGCCGCCGCCGCCGCGCAGGAAGTGCGCGGCACCGCTTCCGGTGGTGGTACCGCCGCCACCCCACTGCAGCTCCTGCAGCTCGGAACCGTAGTCCTCCGTGCTGCTAGCCATGCCTCCTCGGCTGGCGATCGGTCCTCCTTCGGTCACACCTGTCAACCAACGCGCGATTCCGATTATTAATTAATCGTGCGGGAAATTAAAGGAGAAACGTAATGGGAGGGGAGGACTTTAAAAAAGTTTAAAGGGAATAGAAGACATGGAGAATTGATAACACTAAGACTTTAAGTTGTACGAAAATCATTAAGTAATGGATATCTTTTAATTAGATGGTTTTATTCGGAAATAGTTTTTAAAAATATTTTACACAATAAATTTTATATTTTGGTTTTATTGAATTAATTTAATGGAAAAAGCTTATCTTATTTAATTTACTGTATTTGCTCTTATTGTTAGAGTATATAATTTTGTGTGGAAATAAGTTTTTGCAGTTTTTAAATTTGTGAGATTTATATCAAAATAAGAGATACAAAAGAATACAATTTTTTATAGGAATTAATGATACCGAAAAAAAATTGCAAATATAAAATTATTGAATAGAGAATCTTTTCAATAGAGTCGTTTTATTGTAGAGTAAAACAACTGTGTTCGAAAGTAATCGATGATTCTCTAAACTCCGAGACAAGTAATTTTACATGCCTTTACATTAATATATTATAAGATTAAGCATGGCAATTCCTGACTCGAATGCTCGATGAGACTTAAACGTAAAAGTCGCGGCCTGAATTTCAGGAATGATACCGGAAGACATTTTCGTGTTGGCAAAGAAATCACCTCGACATTCAAATGCCACATTAGCGACTGAAAATTTTATTACGAAAGTCTTCCTCGCGGAAGCCGTTCTTTGCCAAGCGAAAACGCGCGAGTTTCTCGCCGAATTTATATGTCAAATATAAAAATTGCAAGACCAACTCCTATAGAAATTTACTTTTGAAAAATCAACATACTGTTCGCACTTTTATTGTTAGTATAATTTTCTGCGGATTTTTTCCCATATATACATTTAAATATCCTAAAGCAATAATTGTTTTCATGATAATTTCTTGTTAGAGTTCTAATAATTAATTAATCATAATAATAATGATATAACAGAGCGAAATTATAAATTAATAAAGTAGGGATCAAACACCTATATTGCTATGTACAATTAATCATGAATCTAGAAATTATTTTAAATTTTGCGGATATGAATGTCTGCACACAGAAAAATATTATTCTATTGCTAAGTAAAATGATTACTCAGTTTACTTTACTTCTTTTAAGTAACAGTTATCTTTAACAAAGAATATTTTCTTAATAATAGTCTTAAAATAGACTTGTCACAAATTTTAGAAATACTCATTATCATGTACTCAAAACAAGTAAATATTTTCTTTTGAAGAATATTATAAAATTTTATCGAAGAAAAGTCAGATATGGTTAATTTAATGTAAGAAAATTTATTAGATCAGAAAAATTTAATGTATTTCTTTCAATTATATAATTTAATATTCTTGATTGAAGTATTAAATTTATTAGGATTCAGAATATATTTTGAATAAATTTGATGCTTATGATGAACTTATGATAGATTTGCGGATATATGAACTTTTGAAATACTTGAAACAAATAATATTTACTTGCATATAGTATGTATTTTTCTGTGTGTGGGTAAAACTTCAAACGCCAAAATTTTTGATGCATAAAAAAATTTATAATTAAAAATGTCTTATTTAAAAGACATCGATATGATCAGAATCTTTTTTTAGACATCTTGAGGACATTTACTTGAATGTTTTCCGGACGATTGCCAGTCGTATGTCCACGAAGTAGTACACGAATATTCGCGATTTATTTTTACACCGCGATCGATCGTGTTTTTTCCACTATTATCATCGGGCTTGCCGTGACGCGAACCGATTATGTTATCGATTCCTACAAGAGACGGGAATAACGAGACAATTAAATCCATCGTAAGGGGGAAACTTCCTTGTCGTGACCGTCTAGCGCTTCTAGATAGCATCTTTAACGTGAGACCTGCCGTCGCGTAATGGCATCATTTTCTGGGACAAACCCGCTCTAACGTTCTTAATGGTTTCAGGAAGTCTTCCTTTATCGCCGGAAGAAGTTGGCCTCAGAGATTATCACTGATAATAGGCCAGACAACCTGAATGCTTTACTCAATATTCAAACATTTTTTGAAAAATTTTGTGGAAAAGTCTTCCAATATTTAAAATAAATAAATTAATGTCAAAATATATTTGTCTCAATAGATATCAAGTAGAGAAATTATCTTAAAAAATGAAATAAATTGTTATCATGATTTAGGTAAAACTTGAGTGTGTTGAAGTTAATTCGTAAGATTGACTTCTGCAAATATATATTAAGCAATATATAAAAGTTTAAATAAAATATTAGAATTATTTTTGTTATTTTAATGGAATTATCATATTAATTTGTGTGACAAAAAAAAATAGAATTTATTATTCAGAAAATTAGATTAATTACTAATTGTATTATAAAGTATCTCGAAACACATACAACTTTGCACTACTTTTTATATTACTTTTAATTTACATTATTTGTATACAAAATGCGATAGCAGCGTTATATAATATTTTAATTAAAATAACCAACTTATTGTAATTTTATAATTATTATAGTAGCTTTCTGAGAATAAAATTATCATATATTTCATAACTATCAGTATTACATTTAGAAACAGGGGTGATAAGATTACTGAATAGCCCCATTTGCTTCGGAATTAAATCCCTGTCATTCCTCCCTCCACTGCCATTTGTACAACGAGACCTCGAGATAGAGACATCTCCTAAAAAAAAAAAAAAAAAAAGAGGAAGAAAGGGTCGCAGTCTTCTTCGACAGGCTTAATCTTTCGTGTCACACAATGTATTCCCTAATTCTTCACCCTCGCCAACAATCGTTTCGCCTATCGCGAAACGGCTCGATTCAACCTTGACACTGAGAAAGGGGCTCCGTTCGCCGCTCGGGGCCGGGGGAGGACGGGGTTGGAAGTCGCCCCCGGCGGACATTCCTGAGGGACGGGGCGAGAGGTCGGGGAGGCGGGCGGGGGGTCGCGCTAGAGAAGCGGAGGGCGGTGGGTGGCTTTGGGGATGTGTGTGATGGTTGTGTGTCGTGTGTCCCGTCATATACGAGGGTGGACCGATCAATACTGCGGCTGAACACCTGAAGCCGACTTCATTCAGTCGACATACACCCTCCTCCTCCTCCTCCCCTTTACTCCATCCCCTGCCCGACGCGACCGCTATAACTCTGCCACTATACTCGGGTTATAGTACACGTACATGTTCCCGTAACAGCTTGCATTAAAGCAGAATAGTTATAATAAGCGTTAAATGGAGAGGTTCGTCGCGCGTTAGCTTGATGATGATGCCAAAACGAACCAGATTTCCTTGTTTTTGAGATAGAATTTCGAAATGTTAATGCACTATATGAAAATTGTGTTTAATAGAGGAGCGAGATAATAGCAAGAAGCGATTTTATTATTTTTAAGATAAATTAATGAAATAATTTAAAAAGATATAACTATCACATACATAAATACGCATATATATATATATAAAATATAAAATTAAAAACTTTTATTAAAATTTAAATAAGAAATCAAAATTAAGATAAATACAAAGAAATAGAGTTACATGAAATTTAAACTAAAAAAAAACAAACAAACATTTGTACATTACATATATTATTTAATTTATCGAAGTAAAAAGAAAATACGTGTCTTGCTGAAACAAAAAAATATAAAATAAATCTATAAAAAAAATCTGTTAAAGAAATCTATATAGGCTCGTATACAACAGTAGGTGTTTCCTGAAAATTAAACATTCTAAACTAAAAATCGCGTGTTCAAGACAAGGCGGTTAAAATTGGAACGATGATTCTCTCACTATTATATAACACATCATATATACGGTTGGTACATATAACTTGCGTTATGCGAGACGCGCGCGTTTAGAATTCGGGCGGCGTGTGGGACGAATTTATCGAGATACTGTCGCCGCGGGATGGGATAATTTTCGGACGGCGCGGCCAATGATAACTAAGTGCCCCGATAAAAGGTGAAAGGTGACGCGATACATTTTGATTGTCATTTTATATCCTTTGAAAAGTTACCCAGCCGCGGGCGCGCGTGCGGAAGACATGAAAGGTCGATTTTTCAGCGGTGTATCCTTTTCCCGCGGCCACAAAATATACGATATGTATATCGATTATACGCGGCAGCGCGCAGAAGACGTCCGACGACGTCGCCCACCTCGTCGATAAATCGTAAAAATTTACATCTCGGCCGTTTATAATGTTGACAAAAGAGAGAGAAATTTTCGCCGAGCGCGCGCTTTTTATGCAGATCGAGAGACGTATCCGTTGGGCGTATTCAAAGAAATGCAAATCTCGACGAAAAAATGAAGTTACATCTCTCCGACACACTAGAATAAAATTAACCCATTTAACGCGATTCGCGAGAATAACATGACACACAACCGTCTCTCCTTTTTCGTCTTTTAATCTCTCGGGGAATATAAAAATTAATAGACGGAATAAAAAAAGGTTTAATTAAATAATAATTTGACAGAAATTTATTCTATAAACGAAGTCATTATACGAATGTCATAAATTTACTTTTAAACACGTGCACGCTAACATTTTTCTTTGTTAGTGGAAATAGACTTTGAATTTTGTAAAGAATAGCCGTATATTTATTATTCTATATCTGTATACTTTCACACACATATTTCGGTGGCTCGTTAAATGCGTTCACGGTATACACAAAGATTTATTTATTACGCCGCATTGTAGCGATGAAAAGGCGCGGCACACGGAGAACGGAACGTGAATTGCGGTGCGGCTCCGGAATCTCAAGTTCGCGTACGCTCTCGAATGTAATTGCATTACATTCCAGTCACGTCACAATCGCCGGCGTTGTGATTGCAGTTAATCCTCGCACGATTCTCTCCGGCTTTTTCAAGAGCATGTCGTAGGCGACGGAGCGAAATAAGGACATCGATTCTCAGAGAATATTCCAGAGGGGTATGCGATCGCGGAATTCTCCTTGTTAAAGGAAAGTCAAAGGCTC